AGGAACTTGATTATGGTCCTATGCTCTTCCACACTGAACTTTTCTGGAGGTGCCGTCATGTTTACTTTGGACCAGAAGATGAAAGTTAAATCATAGGTAGTTGCTTTTTTGAATATAGACAAATTAGCCAATACACTCTGCAATTTATAGCTTCCCAGCTCAATTTATTCTGGGTAAGGCTCAATACTTATCAGCACTCCTCGTACTTAAACACATACCGTGTTGCCCCAAAAATAAGGGTCTTATATTAATTTTTGCTCCAAAAATCACATTAGGGCTTATTTTCAGGGGATGTTTTATTTTACAGTCATGTCATCTTCTGGTTGCTGCACAATGGTGGAGGGCAGGGTTTCACTTCACTGGGACTTATTTTTGGAGTAGGGCTTATATTACGAGCATCCTGAAAAATCATACTAGGGCTTATTTTCAGGGAAACAGGGTACTTTTTCCTGAGGTTTTTTTTTATGTTAAAAGACAGTCTATAGAAATTTTACAAAGTGCAATAGTTCTTCCACATTCACATTTTCGTAATCTCACCCTTTTATGCTAGTGAATGAAATGATTCTAATCTCCATTAGGAAGGGAGGAGACAGCGGAAGATGGGTAGCGTTAGAAAGAGTAACAGCTACGAAATAGGACATACAGTAAAGGTAAAAAGGGAATACATTCTCTTACTCATGCAATCTGATTTAATCTGTCTACACAGTTAAGCAGATTTTTAAAAAAAATGAACAGCTGAACAAGGTCCATAAGCATAGCCTCCACAAGGCACCCACTGTAAACACATCAATGTCAGCAATGTTGGCTTTTGTAAAAACAAAGAGAATATTGCTGTTTATTTGAATATACATGCACCTTTACTTGGCAACTCTCACCGCATCCTGAAAATGTTAAGCCTACTGCTTAACAGTGCTATATATACGAGCCAAAACGTGCCTCACTGAAATGTCACCTCTTCCACAAATGCATCACATAACCTTAGGGAAACCGTATTCTGTCATCTTCATTGTACTGTTTGACAGAGGGATCATACTGGCCTACCATCTGGGCTGCAAACGTGCCAAACCTTCACAGGAGAATGTGCTAATTGGTACAAAACTCAATTTTCGGACAGTCTCTCCATTAGAATTCTTTAAAAGAACTCGCTCACCCTTATGCAATTCCAATTATTTTATGGGACCCAGACAATGGCTGCTGAAATCTCAAGTGCTGTGGAAGAGCGGAACAAGTTTCCCTATGCTTTGGTACAAGGATATGTCCATTCTCCCACTACCAAGGGTTATGCAAAATAAATAGAGCCGTCTCCTATTTCATTTCTATCCTATCATTCTCTTTTGTGGAACCCAAGGCAGTTTACAAAGTAAGTTTTAAAACAGGTTCAAATAAAAATCATCTCAGTAATCATGACTTCGGCTGTACTGAGAAAAAAGAGGACACAGTCTTAGGTAGCTATAAGCAAAGGGGTGCCCTTTATCCCTGAGCTGTTCTAGAAGACTGTGCAGAAGGTAGTGGGAGCTGCAAGGCAAACTATGCTGCCTTCCATCCCGCAGCGGCTTCCATTGGAGCAGAAGCCCTTTCATGGACTGGAAGGATTCCTCCCATTTGTATAAAGTAGGGGTGGGCAACTTGTGGCTCTCCAAATATTGTTGGACTACCCCATCCATTGCTTCTAGCTATGTTGGCTGTTGACGAGAATTCCAGTCCAACAATATGTAAAGGGCTATGTTTCATGCAACCCTGGGCTAAGGACATGTCTTGATGTAACCCACCATTTTTAAAGAATCATGTGCAAAAGAGGAGGCATTCCCTCCTTTTCTCCAGAAATGGAGAAAATGCCTTCAGAATGGTGCTGATATATGGCCCAGTTAATTGTGTTACAATTTAAATATTGCTATTGTAAGATAGTAGTCAGCACTATTTGTGTTATTTATGCGGAGTTTTCTTGTCATGAAAGTTGAGCCAGGCTGCAATTATCTCTCAGGGTTTTTTTTTACACTCACACACAACCCTTACTACAAAATAAACTCTAACATCTAAGTGAATATCCACACATGTAAATACTAGTATAAATCACAGAGGCAAACAGTTACTCTTGATTGCGTTCCTAGCTGTTCACCAGTTGTGTGACTCGGCACACTACCAGGAATTTGATCAGGGGCTTGCAAGTTAGCTATTCATTGCTCTGTGTTTCACATCAATGCACTTATCCAGATATCAATGCTCACTTGGATTTCATCCAAGGAATGCTAAATGTTCCTAAGAGAGAAATTAAGGGCTGGGTGGGGCACTTATGACTCTAACATTATTTTCACAAAGAGGAAATTTTTGGGTAACAAAACAAAACTAAAACAGAGGTAAAACATATTGATCAAAGTGGTATTTAATGCTAAGCGATTAAGAGTGGCAATCTAACAAATTGCAACCTTTCATCCATAGCCACCAAATAAGACATTTCTCATGCATATGACAAATTCACTTATGTAGCAAGGCCTGTGTTTTCTGTGTACAACATTTTCATAAGTTATGTTTCACAGCCTTCCCCATCTGAGAATAATTCAAATTGATTATATTATATTTTGTATATGCAAACTATTTTATATACATGTGAATATAAAGATCCATAAAAGTACCATTGGGACTACACCCTAGAGCTTTCTGTAAAATGCATAGCTTTCTTTCATACCATTTTAAATATTTTCTTTCAAGTTATACCCCCCCAAAATCTTTACAGATTAAAGCTGCTTCAGTGTGTAAAGTTTTAACAAAACCTAAATGGAGCAAATCTAAAAGGTTATATTTAAATCACATATTTGGCTCTTAAATAAATGAACTAAGCAAGCTAAAGAACGTTCCAGTCATCTATGCACTCATGGAATAAGCACATTACTTCAAATACATAGGAAACGTCTTAAACAGGGCCGCAGTGCAGTATTTCTGGTGCAGAAAAATCCCATTTGTTACACAAGTGACCAACTTCACAATGAAAGCTGAAGCTTCCAGCTTTCCCAAGACGTTCAGATTGCATTCAATGGTCAAGAACGGGAAGAAAAGCTGGTCATATTTGAAGGAGGGCTTTGACCCATTTCAGCTTCACAGCTTCACTTTGTCCTTAGAACAAAAAAAATACATCACACAAATTGCAAGTGTCATACTGAGAGACAAGGGCACAAATGTTTTCAGTAAGTTAAATGCAGCTACAACAGTCAGCTAAGTTGTTCAGCGATATCTGTAAGGACCATAACACCAAAATAGTGGTAATCAACCCCATGTTATTGCTTTTGTAGCAACTTAAATTGTTAGAGCTTCATCTGAAGACAGACTGTAGAGGCGTGTGTATCCAGCAATTCAACCAGCCTTTGAACTAGTGTATTTGAAATGGTTTATACAACTGCCTCATTCAAAACCAAACTACACAGATGCACAACAGGTATTCACAGTAGTCACTGATAACTAGGGACCTCATCATCCCCCCATGTAATTCCCCATCTATTTCTAAAAGCCTGGCATGAAAATATTCCTGGTGGACCATGCCCAAGTTAATTATGTCAACAGTTAGTCACATCGACAAGGGCTACCCTTGTCAAAAGCATAATAATTTTATTTTATACCTTTGCCATCTGCTCACCAGCCTTAAGTTCTGAACAAAGCATCCAAATGGCGAAGGTATAGACAGAGCCAACCAGCAGAAAGATGATCCCACATCAAATTTGCAAGGGATAGGTGGATTTGCATCCATAGTTGCCATTTACAACATTATAATGCTTATAGCATCATAAACTGCTGCAGTCATTGGGGGCTTCTGCAGATTTGGAGGCATCTTACCCAAATGGGTGCTTAGAATCAGTCTTGGAGTGGGCATAGGGTAGTGTTTAATACTATCAACAGAACATGTGAACATTGCTTTTGAGAGAGTTATACGTGCTATGCAGTGACACACATTTTCAAAAGGGAATTACAATGTGGCAACTGAACACAAAGGGCCTCATGCAATTACAAGGCCTTTAACTGGTATAGAAACAAACCCCAACATCTTGTGGTAATTACAACACTTCAATGATAAGTATAGGAATTCAGGAGAGGAGGAGATTTATAAAATCAGAGTTCTGTTTATCCAAGGCAAAAAAACCTGTCCAAGTGACTCCATCAAAAATTATAGCCCCCAAATATTCATGCTATTCCATTGATTTGCACAAAAACAGGTACGTACTTTCTGGGTTCCGCCATACAACAGCACTGCTCATTTCTTTTATACCACCCACACACAAACTGTTGGCTTTAAGGCTCTAGCTGTCACTTCACCTAGTACCATTACTGCAGCTGGTGTTCAAAAATGTAAACAAAACAAAACAAAAGAAGGAAAAGGGAAAAAATCTGATGAAAGGAAATCTAACTACAAAGTTATTCAAAGTCTTGCTTCAGAGACTATTTTGGTCATTCTTGATAATTACAAAAGAAAATGCCTTTATTTTCAGCAGGATTTCTCAGAGAACTAGGCCCATCATGAATATAACATTCAGCTATATATAAATAAGTCACCAAGGTGTGAAAAGCAAGGGGAATTACCTTCAGTTACAGCGTACAAGCCTTCTATGCTATATTCTATGCAGAAAAACAACATTGCCATGAGATTTACAAAAAGATCACTCCAACCCATTGCTAGTTTATAAATAGGGAATGCATGTTTGGCTATAAATTAACACAGAAAAATTGTCAATCTTCAAGTGACAGACAAGTTAAGTTTAACTGGAGAGTTGCCAAGAGCTTCAAAACATTAATTCACTGACCACCAAAATGGGTTTCAGTAGCCAGACCATTACAAACCTTCAGCACAGTATTTAAAAAAAATGTTTGTATTTTTTGCTAAAATGTATTGACAGTGCATAGCCTAGGTCAGATGGTCAATGTGATATAATGCCAGTTTGCTGCATTTAAAAAGGGACAATCTCCCTTTCAGTATATTTGTCAAGGAAAAAAAACACAACTAAATAGCAAAGTCCTGAACTGTAGTAAAAATATTTCAGTCACAGACTGATTAAAAATGTATATATCTGTGCAGTTTTGAGGTTTAGTGTCCATCTGCACATTCTACTTGGGTTCCTCAATTGTCCCCTTGCTGAGGTCTGTCATTTTGGGATATTTTACTTTCTTCTGGTCCAGCTCATTCTGAGCCCACAGTAGTAATTTCAGTAACTTAGCCAGCTTCGGAGTTGATTCCCGATTTTCATAGTCCAGAACAGCTTGATTAACTTCACTCCACACCTAGAGAGATAGAGAAACTTGGTTAGCTTCAGAGAAGTCTATCTCCATAATGAGTCAAGATGTTCCAAAAATTTATCTCAGACAATGGCTCAAACTACCGAACCTTTCCTTGTCTATAAAACAGATTGCAGAGTACTGTTGCATGGCTTACAGAACTCATGAAGTAAATGAGAAGTAGTAGTCTTAACAGCAAGGTCCTACAGAGGTTGTAACAATGGCCACGGCCCTTTTAGTTACTTATGCTGGCATAAGAACTGTGACGTGAATCACAGTGGCAAACTGTTATTAGTTAACAAATCAACACTTGTACTCCTCATCATGCAGCAGTCTCCTGACTTGATGTACAATAAGGAATACAGTGACGTGATAACTAGCAGAAATTCACTGCTGCAGTTTATGCCACTGCGCTTAAGTCAGCTTACACAACACGTATCATATAAATGCTAATTTCAGGAGGACATTTACCTGGACATTTGGAAGGCCTACATGGATTGATATGCATAATGTGCAATGCATGTAGCAAGTCTGTATTGTAAATTAATAATGGTAATTTATAGTGAGTACTACCATTATTAGGGCCTGGCCGTCTATGGTCCATGGGGTCACGAAGAGTCGGACACAGCTTAACAACTAAACAACAATGACAACTATTATTATATTTATCATTTTTGCTCTGTTTTTGCATAAATAACCAACAGGATTCTAGTGAGTTATTTCCAAGTTCTTAAACATTCCCTAAAGGCTTTAAAACCTAATCCACTAGGACCTTCCAAACACCATTCCAACAGGTGTTTTGTGACCGCAGACAAGCAAGCTGTTGGTTATTTTAAGTTGATATCTGACTGTCAAAATAATACTTTGGGCACATCATTATAAGAGAAGACTCACTGGAAAACACAATAAAGTAGGATTCCTGTATCCACAGGATATCTGCAGTTTCAATTATCTGCAGATTGCTGCAGCCCTATCTACAACATAAAAGCGGGCCTCCTTGTGGCCACTGTCCAACTTCCACGGTAGATTGTGGAACTTATTTCCTGCAGATACAGGGGGTCCTACTATAAGGAAAAGAGGAAGAGTGACCACCAGTTGGCCTGACTCAATAAGGGAATGCATGGCCTACAATTTGTTATAAGTGCACAGAGCTCCTTCATGACAAGAACTTTAGGAAGTCACTAATTCATAGAGTACCATACGTCAAAAGTGATTTGATAAACTTCCAACAATAACATTTTGGCGTCCAGTTACATCCATTGGTCTGTGAACTATTTAAAGAGCAATATCCTAAAACATTACATGACTGCATCAAAATTAAATTCAATTAAATTGACATGACTTCCTGAGCTGAAGAATATGAGAGTCAACTTTAAAATTGCACACAATAAGGACTAACAATCTTCTTATACACACTAAAAGGCAAATATAAATATTTAGAAAGGAAGAAGACAATTCTTAGCCAATCCTAATATATTATGAAATATGATAAGGCGGCACAGTTCTGCATTTTTAAAACAACTCCTTTCTACAATTAATAAACTAAGTCAAATCTTGTGGCGCATTGTTAAGAGACGAGTGAATATTAGCTTCTATCGAAAAGACAAAAATAAAAACAAAAGGACAATTACCTTCTGTCTTTGCATCATGTTGAGTAAGTCGCCAAAAGGTGATTCCTCTGGGTTATCAAAAGCAAGGAGTGCAAGAGTGCGCTCCATTTCTGTCAGGCATTCCCGACTCTCTTCTCCTTGTTCTGCTAGCTGCGTCTGGGCAAATTCCAGGGCAGCCTCTGTCTCACGCTGTCGAATCAACTCAATTAAATGTTGTTGCTACAAACACAAAAACAAAACATGTAAATAAAGAGGCATAAAACAAAATTTAAAGGAGTACATTTGGTTTCTTTCATACATAGGTAAAGGTTCTCCTTGACATTTAGTCCAGTCGTGTCCAACTCTAGGGCGTGGTGCTCATCCCCGTCTCCAAGCCGTAGAGCCAGCGTTTGTCTGCAGACCGTTTTTGCGGTCCCGTGGCCAGCACAACTAGACACGGAATGCCGTGACCTTCCCACCATGGTGGTACCTATTTATCTACTCACATTTTTACATGCTTTAGAATGGCTAGGTTGGTAGGAGCTGGGACGAGCGACGGGGGCTCACTCCATCGCATGGATTCGATCTTACGACTGCTTGGTCTTCTGACCTTGCAGCAGAGGCTTCTGCAGTTTAACCTGCAGCGCCACCACATCCCTTCTTTAATACATAACAGACAACTATTGTTTTAAAACTAATTTACAGATTAAACTACGCAAGTCACAATAGTAAACTGCTGCTAATTAAGAAGAGGCTGGTTATAGGTCTGTTGCACCACTTGCCATGCTGCCTGGAGAATTTGGGGACCTGTAACCTAAAAACACAAATCTACATATTATTAAAAGGCTCCTGTCAATCATTCACTGAAGACTGCCTGAAGATTTCATGAAATGTCTGGGAAGAATATGGCTTGTCTTTTCAAATATAAGAAAGCCAAGGCACTGTGGGAAGGTCTTCTCTGAGCAATGCTGCATCCCTTCTATGGCCGACTGATTCTCAGATAACCAAGCTCCCTCCACAACTTGATCAAAATCCCTTACATCTCTTATCTTTCATGTCCTCGTTATTTCTGAATGGGGCATTGAAGCAGCAATATCAGCACATTCTAATGCTGAAGAGGTTCCAGGTTGTGCTCATTAGTGGGGGGGGGGGAAGCAAACTTTTAAAAAATAATGAATGGATGAAATACAATCCAGAAAGTTGTGTAAAGTAAACCCTTTCTGGTGCTGTCAAGTGCTGGGTTGAATGGTAAAGTAGTAGGTTTTAGTAATCTGTTTTCCACCACTAATTCAGCGACAGTGAAAAACCATCAGTGGCAAGTTTATCGAAATGAGATAAATTATGGCTTTCTTTCAATTTGTATCAATACTTCAAATCCCCTTGATTTAACTAAATCCATCCTGCTCATCCACTGGAATCCTTTGCTTATTTCCCTATCTTAACCATGGCGTAACAATAGAACTGTGTTGCCCTAATTATGGTGAAAGCTAACTAATGGCTGCAAAACCTTTTAAATACCTGATTTCAAATTCTGATGGAGATAGGTTAGCACCAGCTACCTTGAACATCAGAGTAACAAAGCAGGAAAGGGGGCAAACGGGATTCTATCTGACACCTAAACTACCGACACTATCAATTCAGTCAGAATTAGGCCAAAAAGTGTTATACTTAAACACTCTCAGAAACCTACTAAAGCCTGCTTTAATATAACCGCTTTCTCTTGCAACTTCAAATTAGTTTCAAACACAACCCATGTTAGCTTAAATTAGAATCTTACCTGCAAGTGGAAGTAAAGGTATCTGTTTGTATCTAACAGTTCTGGGTGGAGGCTATTGATGAGTGCGATGGCTTCCTGAATCTGGCCTTTGAGGATCATCTCTCGAATTTTTATTCTTTCATCCAGGGTCTCTAAATCAACACTGGGCTCGATTCCAGATTCCATCCGAAATTTCTCTGCTGCCTCTTTAAAACCTTCTGAAATTTGAGAAAAATAACTGTTTACTGAAAAAGAATCTGGAATTCTAGGATAGTGACCCAACTCCAGGAGGTAGTGGAAGACAGGAGGGCCTGCCATGCTCTGGTCCATGGGGTCATGAAGAATCGGACACAACTAACAACAAAACAACAACTCATTTGCACACGCACACACCTTTCTAAAAAAAACCCCTCCTAAATTTAAGATAAAAATTTCCAGTTTGATCTCAGGCAGCAGAAATTTAAGGAAACCATTTTTATTTTGCCTTAATAAAACCTGTGCCAGACCTACTTCACTCAGAGGTCAGTCACCAAAGATTTAAATGAATCAGTGGCTAAATTTGCTCACTTTCCCTTTCATCTTTTTTTGACTGAGTGATCCTCTGTCCCTGACATGGCAGTGTTCAGAGAGAAGGAAAGGAACAGGAAGTCTCTTCATACAATGTTCTGTGAAAGGCAGTGTAAAATAATAAGGCTGAAACCCAGATATTTTTATATTAATCTATATCTCTATTGTATAAATCCCACTCATTAAGGGTTACTTCCTAAACTGGGTTTCCTGTTGCTCTGAAACACATCTACTGGCAATTTTACTATATCAGTATTCCATTCATGCCTTTGCAGCTAACAACACTCAATAACAACCAACTAGCAATAATGTTTTCATGTGACTCAGGGCGCCAATAAGTGCTAATATATATCAGGCAATGTAACCATTTAGAAGTTGGATTACTGAAGCTGATCACTGAAGGCTTCAGTAATCCAACAAGGATTACTCAAACAAGGAAAATAGTATAACACTGAGAAGCAGCACATGATGTAAAAGGCACCTTTTAGGCCAGATTTTAAATTATCATTATTCTAACCAGTCTTACATCTCTGGCTAAAGCTATCGAGACACATCTTAAAAAACAGAAATTGCATAAGAGTGAGACAACCAGTAAGAATGACAAAACCTTTACTACACAGATGGTACAACAAGGTTTTCCCTACAGCCTCTCCAATCAATATGTACATATATATGGTGGGTGAGGTAGATGTCACCATGAAAAGATACAGAACTATGGGAACCATAGTTGCCCAGTGTGTATTAGAAACCTAACTGTTCAAATAGACCAAAACAATTACTCCTTGTAAATATTTATATCATGTTTCTAATTAAGGCTACATTACAAAATTCCAGCATTATGCTAATAAATGTTTTCTAATTAGTAGGCAACTATTGCAATTAGAATTTTTAAACCACTTCATTGCTGATTACCTGTAACAAGATAGTTCATGATCAGGCGATTCATGTCGGCTCTCTGGATGTGCAAATTATTGAGCTTTTCCATCCACTCGTCTTTCGTGATTTCATCGGGTTTTTCCGCATAACTCATTCTTTATCCCTCACTAGTGAACAAGGAAAGAAAAGTTGATAGTCATCTAAGTAAGTAGACTAAAGAATGAACAAATAGCTTCTTACTGCCCTGACACCTTTTATTGCTCATACACTGAAAAGCAACAGTGAAACACAGTGAACAGAACTTTTCCCATTTGTAATTAAAAACCAAACCAAGTCCCTAATCAGAGTTCCCAAGTTACTAGTAAGGAAAGATCAATACACCTTAAATCTTCCAACATACAGTACAGGCTTACTGTTGCCATGTACATACTATGAATATAAATACTATGCAATATTTTAAATTGCACATTTACAAAAAAAAACCCGTAATTATTTTAATTATAAAAATAAATAATCTATAACAGGAAGCTGAACCCAAATTTATTTCAACATTCTAAAGAAAAGAAACAGACTTCTTGCTGAAACTTTTGTGAAGCTGAGATGTGAACCATAGGCATTATGTGTCACCCAAATCAGCACCTGCACACTTATTTTATAGGCCCATGTCTTCACAGAACTGTGCCATTACCTTGCATCCCAACAAGCAAGAACTAGTGTCTCTACTTTGACAATTCCACCTTGGGTGACCCTGCTGTGAGTCTAGCTTCCTGACCTACTCAAAGCCTTTCACTACATTAAGGTGTGTCTCCAAGACAGAGCATGTATTCATCTATGTTTTCTGAGGATGTGAATAGCTTCACATTTATTATCTCAGTAGACAGCACATAATTATTGTGCTGGTTTGTGAGTTTAAACATATGGCTGTGGAGTCACAAGTTTGATTCCTCACTATACCTTGTATGAGAAGAGCTAGCCTGGGTGGTTCTTGGACAAACTACACAGTCCCAGAGTGCCCAAAGAGAATGGCAAAACAGGTCTGAGTACTCTGTACCTATGAAAAAACCAAAAAGTGTCACCAAAAGTCAGATTTGATTTGATAGCATATGAGTCCCCTGGACTGCAAGGAGAACGAACCTATCTATTCTGAAGGAAATCAACCCTGAGTGCTCATTTGGAAGGACACATTTGAAGCTGAGGCTTCAATACTTTGGCCATCTCATAAGACTCCCTGGAAAAGACCCTGATGTTGGGAAAGTGTGAAGGCAAGGAGAAGGGGACAACAGAGGAGGAGATAGATGGACAGTGTCATCAAAGCTACCAACATGAATTTGACCAAACTCCAGGAGGCAGTGGAAGACAGGAAGGTCTGGCATGCTCTGGTCCATGGGGTCACGAAGAATCAGACATGACTTAATGATGACAACAATTATTAATGTTAATTCTTCCATTGCAAAGATTACAACCTTCCAAGATAGATGAGTATGATCAGCCCCAAAGTGCAGACAGAAGACTGAGTAGCGTTGGTTTTTCTGTGGAAGAGGTAAGATTTGACTTCCTGGATCATAAATATACTAATTACAACCTTCCAAGATACATGAGTATGATCAGCCCCAAGTGCAGACAGAAGACTGAGTAGTGCTGGTTTTTCTGTGGAAGAGGTGAGATTTGACTTCCTGGATCATAAATATACTCTAAAGACCTATTGTCATACATTAGTAATTAAGTAAATTGCCATGACCTAGAAGAGAACGTGCCCCAGATGTTTATGCATCTTGCATCTTCCTGCTGTCTCGCCTCAGGGAGATTACTCTGCCATGATTCTGAACAATTTTTCAAATCATGCAAAGTCTTTAAAAATGGCTTGAGTGAGAACAGGTCTTTTACTTCAGAAGACAAAATGACTGAAATAAGTGAACACAAAGTTCCAATACTACATTACTCAAACTTCAGTTGACCCAAAGAAATCATCTCATAGAAAGTCAAGAGGAAAGACTTCCTCATGCAATTGAAAATAAGTGTATGGAATTCAACACTGCAACATGTGGGAGTGATAACTTATATTTAGCCGCCCAGAGTGGTCGATCAAATCAGATGGGCGGGATACAAATCAAATCAAATAAATAAATAGATAAATGAATGAGCACTGCAACATGTGGAAGTAATAACCTATATTTCAAATGACTTTTAAAAAGACTGGCCAAGTTAATGGTGCTAAGCCCAACAATGACTGCTAAACAAATTAGTTAAAAAGGCTACCTTTCTGTCTTGCTTAAGACCTGAATGAATAAATATTTCAAATGACTTTTTAAAAGACTGGCCAAGTTAATTGGTGATAAGCCCAACAATGACCACTAAACAAATTAGTTAAAAATAAATCTTGCAAGACACGAGCGAAGGCTACCTTTCTGTCTTGCTTAAGACCTTCCAATGAATATTCAAAACAGATACTTCTGGAAAAAACACTGAACTAAAGAAGAGCTGAGATCTAAGCTGTTTATTCCAATAACAAAATTGATACAAGAAAAAAAGTACTTATCTGTCATCAAAGGAATATGAATCAAAAGTAACTGAACTAATGGAATTAATGGAATACAAGTCTTAACTGGCAAATTCTCAAAACTATTGAAGTCACATAGCATAATGCATCTCAAACTTATGGACAATTTCAGTGGGACTTAATTAAAAGTATACACATGTAGTGATAAAGAGGGCCCATGTGTACCAATAAGCCTCAGTTTCCTCTTTGTAAAATGGAACAGTAATTATGCCCTCTGTAGCTTTGTTATGAGAGCAAGCTGCAACTGCAAGTCTGCAATTGTTACTGTAGCTTTGTTATAAGAGCAAGCTGCAACTGCAAGTCTGCAATTGCTATTGGTCCTATGTACTGTATTAACTCCACCTTCTTCTGAAGGTATGGAAGTGACAGCTGAAAACTGGTGGTTAAACTCAAAATACTGCCTTGCATTCAACCAATAGCTGCTGTATAAGACTTCAAGGCTACTGGTTCTTACAATCTTACAAACTAACAGTTGCAGATAATCTGGCAATATTTGTTAGAATCTCCCTCTTTAAAGTAGACCCTCCCATCTGTTATATTCCAAACTGTAAAATCACTACAGTCTTTTCTTGGGGCTCTAAGGATAACACTGCCTCTATGTTGCCTCAATACACCAAAGGATTGTGGACCCTATTGAGAAAGTTCTCCAAAGCAGGAGTTCACAATTACTGTATGTGCTGATCAGGAATCCTTACGAGAAAGATGAAATAATCTGTAGCTACAAGCAATTCAAAGGAATTAGTTAGAGGCTGATGGAACACCAGCCTTTTCTTTCCTCTATTTGAAAACCAGGTTCCTCTCAATATAATATGCATAGAAACTTCATTTAAGCTTAAGCTTGTTTGTGGCACTCGATACAGGTGTTGAATCTACTCTTTCTAGAGCCTGTGCAGTTATATCATTGGACTCGTTTTTTTTAAGAAAGAAAAAAAGACCAATACCCTGAATTGATTTTAACTCCATTTAAAAACCGTTTAAAAGATCCTTGTCTAACACAAACTCTTAAAAAGTAAGACGCAACGTCCTTAATGTATATTACATGTGTCGTACATCAGAGAAAAATTAATTCAGAGTGAAAATCTTCCTCACCCTGGCTCTCCATTCACATTCGGCAAACTTAAAACATTCCAAAGCCACAAAAACGTCGATTTCTTTAAACTGGAGTTGGAGGGGGGAAAAATGAGGCGATCATGGTAACAACAAGTGCCATGACCGGCTGATTTCCTTTCCCGACGTTCAAATCTCCCTTTTCGCCTATAAAGGTCTGGGTTCCTCGTTTCTAGGCTTCGCCCTCGGGTCCGCCCCCTAAACCCGAGATCCTGGGCGTGAAAGAAAAGCATTTCTAGGAATACTCGCAAGGTGAAACCTTCCCGCCAGGAAGGAAAGAAGGGCGGGCGGGCGGAGGAGCCCCGGCTGATCCAGACGTGACTCGCAGGGAGGCGGGAAGAAGCCGGGCCCGCGCAAAGGGAGCCAAGCCCCCCTCACCCGTGAGGGAGAGGCCTCCCGCCCGCCCCT